GGGTTGAATTTTTTTAGCGCATATTTGTTTCAAGAGTGTCAGGAAAAATTTTCAAGTGCAATTAATGAAGTTAACATTGATTTACTGTCAAAAATGTCGCAATTTTTCACAAAAAGCGCGCGCGCGCGCACTTTTGCTCAGATTCCTTCGAAACCAAAAAATGCACATAATATACATAATTCTGAGTTTGCATGCAAAAAATCAGCCTCCTACGACAATTCTAAGTTATGTTTAACCACTGTTTAAATTTTCCGGAGAGTAATACGTTTTGTGCCCCCCCCCCTTTTCTTAGGAAAAAGAAATATGTTAGAATAATGTTTTGAAAAAAAGGAAATATGGCAAAAGTGATCAATAATCATGGTAACTGTAACTTAAGTCAAGTGTTACTTATGGCTAAAATATTTATGGAGAGTGCTATTATGGTAAGTCTAATTATGGCAAATTTATTTATGGCTAAAAAAACTGAGCCACATCAACCTATTTATTAATTTATACATATAGGGAGCAGGTTGGGAGACTCTCAGCTGATCAAACTCAACGCAGAACCCGACATCAACGGCAGCTTCGTCACCATTGTCGATATCTTTACAAACCTGGGACCCATCATCGATATGATCGTCGTTGATCTGGAGAAGTAAGTTTGTTTGTTGCAAATCTTAAATCAGAGGGTTTATTTTCCCCGGGCCCCGCCTCTATTAAAGCTCAAATTTTCCCCAGAAGTTCGGTACTTTTTCGCGTAGCGCCAGCAATTTTTAGTTTTTTTCTGAATTGGAAGAAAATGATATTTTAGGGAAAATTGATAAATTTTTGGGTAAAAAATATGAAAAATATGTCTTTGATGGATATGGGTAAAAAGTATGAAAAAAGGATGAAAAAATGTTGCTTTTTGTCTACTTTTTTTCTTCCAGATCTCCAAAAATAATTTTTTTCCCACCAAAATATGTCTTTGATGGATATGAACTGAGTAGATACAACAATTTAATATTTGTTGGGGTTAAAGCTTTATGTTTAATAGGTTTGGTGGTGGGATTTTTTATTCGTAATCAAAAAAAAATTCTATATCTTATTTAACTTATAACTAATAACTATCATTTAGAGAATAACATTTATGATATAATAAAGTTTTTCATATTTATATTCAATATGGCTAAAGCGATTACGGTCTGAAGTAAACTTTAAATAAATTTGAAAGTGACATGAAACTGGTTTAGACAAGGTCAGGGTCAGCTGGTAACCTGTTCTGGTGGCTTCAAGGACGGTAGCCTTAGGATTATAAGAAATGGTGAGTTAATAGGGGTATATATTATTTTGTTGCTGATGTTTTTTGGTGAACAAATCTTGCCTATGATGTACATTTTTTTCATTCTCTTTTCCAGAGCATCGATAATGATTTCCCCATCCGTGAAATCGGAAAATAATATGAATTTTTATGAATCCGTCCTAGAGTAATGATTATCAAAAATTATCAGCTGACACGTTTTTCTCTTTTTCGATAAGCTTTGTCCAAATTTTATTCATTTTTTTCTTAAAAATCATAAATGTTCCTTAAATTTGCGAACAAATCCTTAAAAAAACACGCAAAATAATTTGTCCACGGGGATAATTGATTATTTTTCAGGTTAAATAGATAACGTTAATTTATTTCTCAAATCGGTTATCAACAATAAACTTGTTCATTTCCATCAATGATTTTGATCATATTTTCACATATCATTCATCCACTTTTTTTGTGAAGCATTTAAAAATAAAAAATGTATCGAACCAAAACCTGTTTTTGATGCACAGTATTAAGGTATCGGAATTCATGAGCTGGCAACTATCGACCTACCTGGAATCAAGGTCAGTTTCTAAAAAAGGGTTAAAACTACTCGTTAAAGAGACTCTAGACCAATGTGCGTGTTTTCCTCCTGCTATTTGTTAAATTTTCAGTATAGTTTTACAATTTCAACGTGTAATAGATTTCCGTGTTTAAATAAGGATGTTTTTGTGATATTTTTAAAGTAAATTCATTAAAAATTTTTTTTTGATTTTTACAATTATTAAAGAAAATATTAAATTTTTCTCAAACAATAAGTTTTGTCTGTTTGTCTCTATCTGTCTATATATCTATCTATCTATCCATCTATCTGTCTGACCAGTTGATCATCAAAAATTAGTTTAGCAAATATCCCTATTTTGTTATTTTGTGTATAAGGGTTGAAAGGGTGTTAACTTTACTTTACTTTAACTTTCTTTACGTATCTTTAAATATGTAGTTGATCTTATTTGACAAAAATAAAAAAGACTACTTTAAAATTTTTAAAATTTGTCTTTGTCATCAAATAGAAAATTATTTTCAGATCGTTAGAATTAAGTGGTTTAATGGCTTTTACAGAAAGTGAAAGACCTTTTTTAAAAAAAATGTTTTCTTTTAATAAAAGATAATTTGATAAAACTTTAAAACTGTTTTTTTTATTTCTAGCAAGTACGTCTGGAGAAGACATGGAAATCGCGATACCTACTCATAATGGTGGGAGGGGGGAGGGGGCTCCAATCTTTTTATAAGAATAAGATTGACTTCTATTGTTTATTGTAGGGAATGTGGCCTCTCCGAGTTGGATCAAATATGGATAATACTCTAATCCTTACATTTGTCGAGCAGACTACAGTTCTATCATTGGTTGGAGAAGATGTAAGCTTTTAATTATTGATTGATTGATTGATTGATTGACTGATTTATTGATTGATTGATTGATTGACTGATTGATTGATTGATTTATTGTAATTATGATAATTGTAGTTATGTTGATTTCATTGAAATATTGAAATGCATTTGCAATGTAACGATTCACTTGTTTGTATTGAATTATTTATTGCGTGATTGACCGAGATTGATTAATTGAATTTTTTATTGATTGGTTGAATTTTTGATTGATGTTGATTCATTAATTTATGGATTGATTGATTGTTTGCTTGATATTTGGATTGAATGATTAATTTACTGATGGTTTGATGTATGATTGATTGACAGGTTGAAGAGACCGATATCCCTGGGTTTAGTTCTGATCAACAAACCTTCTTTGCCGGGAATACAGATTTCGATCAGATTCTGCAGGTAGTGATTTGCCTTTAGGTGGTTCGTACTAGGGTCGTTTTTTCTTAATATTTTCTTTCAGGACCAAGTTTAGCATAGTGTAAAAAAACCAAATGTATTGTAAATTGTGTATTCTGAAGTTATATGCAAAAAACGACAGAAAAAAAACGATGAAAAACGATGAAAAACTTTTAAAAACGACAAAAAACGAATACGATGAAAAACAATGAAAAACGACGAGTAACGATGAAAACAATGGGAAAACGAACGTGTCGTAACAATCGTTTTTTGATCGTTTTTCTTACTTCTTATTTTTTTAGGTTAAAGATTTATCTAAGCTTGAAAAAGGAAATTATCATATTACAGTTTTGATATTTGTACTAACACTTGATGCAAGTTTACGTGTACTAACACTTGATGCAAGTTTACTTGTACTAACACTTGATGCAAGTTTACGTGTACTGACACTTGATGCAAGTTTACGTGTACTGACACTTGATGCAAGTTTACGTGTACTAACACTTGATGCAAGTTTAATTTTACTAACACTTCATTAATGTGTACGCCATTTGGGGTGTTGAAAGATGTAAATATCAGTAATCAATATAAAGAGATAAACTCCCTTGCTGTATACAATTTACATGCCGCAGTATTGTATTTTTTTCTACAAATTGACATCATACTTCCAATTGTTTACAACAACAACATGATTAATTTCAATCTTAATGTCAATTAATCAAAATTTTTGATCGTATTGGATGGAATTATATTTGTTCCCCTGCTATATTGTAGATAACTCCTGGTGGAGTTAGGTTGGTTTCCTCACAATCCAAGGACCTAGTGGATCTATGGAATCCTCCTGGAGGGAAACAGATAAGGTATATATTAAGTTGTAATCTCTATTTGTTTGGACCGATTTGCCGCCTCAAATTTTTAATTGTGCACTCGGGAGAACCGCGGGAATGTTCTTTATCTATGATTTTAAGTTGAGTGGGTCCACTTGTATAGGGAAAAATAGCTCAAATCGTAATTTACGACCAAATGCGGGTAAATGGCGGGAATAACTATGAGTACGCCAGGTTCAAAAGCTAGTAACGAATATTTTAGGGAAATGTTCCCCCTAGGTCACTCCCGAACTGGAACCGAAACATGATGTTATTAGGAATGTTTATGATAGATTACTCATTTTCCAGAATCATAATGTTTTTATGTTAGGAATGAATATAACTCGGCTTTTAGGGCGCTTCACGCCCATCTTCTATTTCAATTGTGGACATTTTCATCTTTGTATACATTGTTTAACAAATCCCAATAAGGTTTGTGGATTCAAAAACAAAAATTTCGTGGATTTTTAAATTTGATGAAAATAGAATTTTGATGTTTTTCATAAAGATTATTATATATAATCGTGAATTGTGANTGATAGCTAAATTTAGTTACAAACTTTAAACATATAACTGGACAAAGTATTTCTGAAGTCCATCAGGTTTATTGAGTTTCTACACAATTTTGATATATTAGCGTGTGCGGGACGAATGGAAGTCAGGTTCTGGTTGCCTGTGGATCCGTTCTCTTCTATCTGGAGGTTAGTTTCAGATTTTCGAAATCTTCTCTAATTTTTAAAAAATCTAAAATGGAGCTTTTTTTTTACATAATTATGTGTTTATTGTAAATGTAGACACTAGACAGCTTTTCACATAAAAACTTTTGAAAATTTAACATTTCAAAAGGATTTTTGCAAAAATATTATGTTCTTAATTACAGCCTCTGAATTGCCAACCAATAATTCGTAATTTTTTAACATTTTGATATGTTCAGGTCCAGTCGAATAAGCTTGCATTGCGCGGGGACTGTACTTTAGAATTTGAGGTTGCTTGTATTGATCTTACACCTATAGAAGAAGGAGAAACACGCGCGGAGATTGCGAGCATTGGTCTCTGGACAGATATATCCGTCCGTCTACTGCGCATTCCTTCACTAGAAGAGATCACCCGTGAGATGATCGGTGGTGAGATCATTCCACGATCTATATTGATCGCCAAGTTTGAGGGAGTGAATTATCTGCTGTGCTCGCTAGGAGATGGATCTTTGATCTATTATCTGTTCACTCCTCAGGGTACTCTTGTGGATAGAAGGAAGGTAAAAAAAATCTCTCTCTTTTTTTACTCGTCCATTTGTTCCAAACCTTCCTGATTATCTCTGTGCTGCGTGTGTTTCCGCGCCAAAATATACATTCAAAATTTGATTTTTCTTAATCAATGATTTTGAATGAAAAGTTATAAATACTAAATAAAAACCAGTCAACTAAAGGTACAGGGTTACCCTCAAAGGATGAGACTTTAGTGATAATTTATTCAGTCTTTTTTCTTTCATTCATGGTCTCAGTCCTGACTTTTACGGAATGATGGTGGATTGTTTGTTTGTTTGTTTGTTATGGTTCCCTGTAATAGTGAACATAATTCATATTATCTTGAAGCTTTAAAAATACCATTTAATAATGTATTCAAGGCAGAATCCCAAAATAAACCTTCAAATGGTTTTATCAGAGTTTTAGGTCGTCCTTTAAGCCTTATTCTTTATGAGTCACCCTGTTTTAAAGATATTTTTCGTTTAAACCATTCATTTTCTTCGTCGTTTTTCAGTAGGAATTTAAATCTGTCAAAACTTTCGAAAAAAAAATCAAATTCTGGGGTTCAAGCAACTGTAAAAACTTCAGGTTTTTTCTATTTTTTTAAAACTATACAGTTCCTCGTTAAAATTCAAAGAAAATGTAATCTAATTTTTCTAAAGGACCTCACTAGTCCTTAGGTGCAAAGTTAGGCACTCTATTATTATCTCTTATTATGTTAAGCGTTATAACAAACTGCAGGAGACTAGTGAGGTCCTTTTATATTTCCTCCATAATTATCATTTTAAAGATTTTATTTTTGATTAGTAGGTATTCTTGTTATATTAAGGTCACCCTGGGCACACAGCCGACAGTATTACGCAAGTTCCGTACACAGTCCACAACCAATGTTTTTGTCTGCTCTGACCGTCCTACAGTCATCTACTCATCAAATAAGAAGCTTGTTTTCGCCAATGTTAATCTCAAGGTAAAAATCTAGGTTTGAATTATTTATTTATCTAATCTATATAATAAACCTGTAAGCCAATATATCAATATATATTTGTATGTTTGCCATAGCTGGCCAAACGGCTGGACTAAGGTTGCTGGTTCGAGGAACACCGAGGCCGATCCCCTTCATGTTCATGTTCATGTTCATGTTCATGTTCATGTTCATGTTCATGTTCATGTTCATGTTCATGTTCATGTTCATGTTCA